ATGTTTGCTTATTCTCTCTGTCACTGACATCCCAAGTACACTAATTCAAGTTTATTTGTATAGCATGTTTTCACACAGCATGCGCAGGTAATGCAGATAAACTATGTGACTATCTAGGATAAGTAAAGGAATCCTAACTTGATTTTGACAGAAGTAGCCTTTGCGGGTTGTTCAATACCTATGAAAAAACAAGAGCACATTGGAGAATGATTGGTGTATTTGAGAATGTTACAAGTAGACGACATGCAGAACAACACAAACAACAGGGAGAAATATACAGCAAGACTAGAAGCAAAACCTCCCTCAGTATGTTTCCAAGCCCACAGAACAGATGTAGGCCATGTTAACACATTCCTAAACACCACTTTGCAATGGAGAATAACTGGTCCATTCTTCCATGGCCAAGCTGGAATCCACCTTGTCCATCCTGAATCCTGGGTTTGATCATCAGGCAAAGCATCCCTAACACATGCTTTCCCAGGAAGCCCCCTTTTTAAAAATAGGGACCACCAGTCCTGCTATCCAGTCCAAGGGCACTTTATCTTCCTTCTGCATAACTTCTAGTTTTTCTTGGAAAGAACCATCACACCTCTGTGGCCCTTCCCACCATGGACGTCTCTGATCACCATAGGAACCTCAGCTGCAGTGATAGACTCTGATCCACCAGAAGTTTCCAACATCTGTATCTACCAGGTTAAGGAGTTCCTCAAACTATTCTACTACTCAACAATAACTAGAGTAGGCACCTCCCCACACCTGCTTAACACGGACTGAACAAGGTCCTGTTTCCTAAGTCATTGAACAATAGCCAAGTAATTAGATCCACCCAGGACCGGATAAGCCGTTGGAAGATGGATGAAAGGGTCAACCTTGTGGTCATTGATCATGTTTGGGTAGATAGATGAAATGGCTTGCAAGAATAATCCTCTTTGATCTGGGAAAAGATACATATATCTTCCTGTCTGTCCATTGGCACAAATTCTCTTTTCCCTCTCAGTTCAGTTAAACCATTCAACATTTAAGAAATTGGATCCTCCAGTCATTCGAGCAAATGCTGTAAACTCTCCTCAGTTTATAGGTAGTATCCCTACAAAGCTTGCTTCTCTCTGTCTGTGAGACATGGCGCCATAAGCCCTTCACTCTCTGTCTGTGAGATACATCACTATAAACTCTTCACTCCCTCTCTGTGAGAAATATCGCTATAAAGCCTTCACAACGAGATGATGTGTGTAACTACAAAGCTGCTCTTTTTCAGTATGGGAAGTCCTCCACCTCTCTATCTGTGCTAAATTCAGTTGCTGTAAGCTACCCTAACAGTCTATTTTCACATTCACAATGGCATTACAAGAATTACAGTCCTACGTTTTTCTATGGACCACAAATTTTCTAACTGCTGGAATTTTGGAACTTGCCATTTCCTGAATTCCAGCAATTTCTCTCCTCCTGAAAAGTGAGCTGAATAATAGGACCTCTCCTTGGATTAAATCATAAGGCCCTGGGACTGAACACGACAGTCAGACAGACAGGCAGACAAACAGACAGACACCACAGCATTCTGGAACATATGCCAATATCATTAGACATCTTTTAGTGATTTTTTAGGGAGTTGATCAGTTGAGATTTTACATGCATTCTTAGGAGCAACCCAATAAAATCTCCAAGCTATGCTAAATCACTTCAAAATCCTTATCCCTTTCATAAAATCCAATGGGATTATATCTTAAGATAAAAGAACAAATTGCTTAAATAAATTGTTTTGGAAGATGGCTGAAAATGAATGGCGTCTTTTGACAGTTAAAAATCCAAAGCACCTCTTTGCTTCTACTGATTATAATATAATATGCTTTTAGACATGATTTCAGAACATAACTGTGTCATAGGCAGATAACAGAACCACACCCATGGGCTTCCTGGTTGAACCTGGTTGGATCAAAACAGATACACCAGAACAGGGTTCAAGAAGGCCAGTCACAAAGGTGCCTAAATCGTCCATCTATGTTCCATATCCTCTGCAGGGTAATGGAGGTCCAGAGCTTGTCCGAAAGCCACGAGCACAAGGCAAGGAATAACTCAGGAAGGCCAGACACACTGTTCACGCCGCAAGGACAATTTGGCAACGCTAATTCACCTTAGCATGTTTTTGGACTGCTGGGGGAAAGCAGTGAATCAAGAACGCTTGAAGTGTGAGGCCAACATGCCACCCTTGTGAAAAAATCATTTCACAGTAATTCATAAAAAGGTATCTTTTTTATGTCAGAGCCTACAAGTCCTAGTGGAATTTCATTATTAACGATCTTCTCGAAATTAATGCATGAATATATATAATTCATCAGATGATCTTACCATAGGGATCAATAAGAAATGTTTAGTCTCAGTAAAGCACTAAATTAAACCAGCCTTGAAGCACCCTGGCTTCCAAGCAAACAAATGTTAGTTCGGAACATTACTTCTTGGAATCACTTGCGCATTTTACAAGACAAATTCAGTGAAGTAATGCACTCATAATTTGAACTTTTTATTTGTGAATTAAAATACAATTTCTCTCTTAAACCAAGCACGAGTGTTTTTTCCTGTTTATGTCGAATGTTTGCAATTACTCCAAAATTTCCTCTACTGAACAGAAAGGAATCAACACATCTATTTTGCTGTCTGATCTCTGTGTACAGTTTGTTTCTGTGAGTGATAATGATATACATAAACTGCCAAGACCAAAGGCAAAGTATTTAAAGATGCAGAGATTAGGATAAAATTATACCCCCAATTCTCTTTGTTGTACATGAGAGTTAAGCACATATGTACTCTGCAGACTGTAAGAATATACAGTAAAAATAGGAAATAGACGACTGTGGCCAAGTGCTTGGGTATTGTTTTACTTTCAATGCCTTACAGTATTTGACAGCATTGTCAACAAACTTTTTAGAAGTAACAACAGCAGCCCAAATAAAATATTGTTTAATCCCAGATAACAATGTAATGTAATAGGAAATATGGACGCAATAGGAAATGACACAATCTTTCCAAACATCAGCAGAGTCTGTGTGCAAAAACAATACGACTAGATTATTAGCCAAGTTTTTTCTGGTTCTTGGCTTCAAAGATAATTTTTCATAGTATCTGCACTTTTTTCCCTTTGTATAACGTAAATAAAAATGATTGATTTCATTTAAACTTCCCCAATACAATCCCCAGTCTTCCTGACGAACTGGCCATATGTGGACACAGTAGAGAAGCCCACAGTTCTGACCCCAAGAGATTATCTCTGAAGGATCTATATGCCTTTTCTCAGGGCTTTCTTTGTTTGGACCTGGACATCTCAGTAATATCTCCATCTGGACACCTGGACTCTGTTAGCTGATGTTCATCCTCTCCAAGACTCCAAGATCAATGCGTCCCTGGGCTCTACACTGTAACTACACCTCTTGACTTAAGATTAGTTCAGCGCTGCGTCACCTTTTTCTGTCTATCTGGCCCTGATTACATCCATCTATCCTTTTAAGCCCTCTATTAAATCCATCCATCCATCCATCTTCCACCTCTCTGTCCTGTACAGGGTCATAATGAAGCTCAAAGTCTATCCCAGGCAGTATAAGGCACAAGGCAAAGGGACACCCCGCATGGGACTGCCAGTCCATCACAGGGCACAACAAATTAAAGGCATCAATTCGTCTTAATTGCCGGTCTTTGTGCTGTGGAAGGAATCCAGAGGAAAATCTCTTAGTAAATGAATTATTAAAAGGTTCTATCAATGGTATCGCAAAACATTACGGCTTCCATTTATACAACAGGATTTATTAAAATGATTTATATTAAACAGTAAGCAACACTAAACGGCACTTCTCATCAGCACCTAATTTAATTTATTAATCCACATTCTACTTTATCTACCTCTGTCTATCTGCATATTTACACTGTCTACCACTGTCTATCCGTCCATATCAATCATTGTCTCCCACTGTTAATCAACATATTGGCATTATCTATTACTATACATCTCTGTCTATCCATACTGTATATTGCCACTGTCACCCACTATCAGCCTATCTGCGTACTGGATGACTCACAAATTCGTGAAGCGTTCTGTATTTTTTGGGGGGGCAGTGGTGGCTAATGGTTAGGAAAGCACACTTGTGACTGAAAGATTGGTTTGAATCCCTGACCAGCAAGGTACCCCCTCCCCCCACCCAAGCACTGCTCCCCAGGTGCTGAATTAGCTGCCCCCTGCTATGTTGCATATGAGTTAAATGCAGGGGACACATTTTGTTGTTGTGCAGTGGGGCATCAACAATATCAATTTAAATACTGTTATTATTTATTGCTATCCATCTGTATATTTACAGTCTACAACTATCTGCCTCTTATTATCCAAATATTGCTACTGTCTACCACTATTTACTGCTCACTATCGACAAACAGTCACTATCAATCATCATCTATCTCTGTCAATGCACTTATTGCAACTATCAATCATTATCTACCGTTGTTGGTGCACATATTGGCACTATCTACCAATATCTATCCACATACTGCCTATACCTTGACTTTTGTTCATCCACACTTCCATTACATGGCACTCCGTAACCACACTCTGCTCACCCTTCTGGAGAAACTCTGGGAGTAGCATCTGTTGGCCATCTTTTTGCTTTCGTATCAGCTGCTAAATTCATTATGTTTCTCTCCATGAAATGCCAAGACTGCCCCTATTTATCAAATCGAATTCCCCTGTATCTGTCACATTCTGCAGCACTACATGCCCACCCATTTTTGATAGTCAAGTGACAGAGTGTACAGCCTTTCTGAAGTTCTTTTTAGTTTAGACAGATGTGTATTTTCTAAAGATTCCTGCTGTGCACTGATGCACTCAGGTGCAATAACTGTCACCGACAGCAACCCATCTTCATCCAGCGATGGATCCAGATGGAAGCATACTGAGTGTACCCCAGGACAGATTATTTATAAAGAATTAATATTATCATTTGCAGCAAAATATGTGTGGTGCTGCTTTTCAGTTAAGGAATGTCAAGGAATGCAAAAAGGTTAATTATGTGGGATGTAATATAAGCTGTATTTTTTTTTTTTACTGTAAATAAATGTTTAATGCGCTATTCAACAGAAGATTTCATATTTTATTTAGCATTTAACTGTAGAAGAAAGGAATATTTAAGGAGAACGGTGGTCAGCAAAGTGGAGTATTAACAAAAGACAAAAAAAAAAACAAATTGTTGAGAAAAAACTACAGTAGGCTTAACATGAGATCTTCTATCAAAGTGACGATTCAGGTTCTTTCTAGCTTTTCACTCAGCACCTCAGCATGTTTTCTCCCCTGAAGATATAGAGGCCAAACTGTGTCTGTTTTCCTTGCCAAAACAAGCCCAGTGGAAAGATGCTGCAAACTATAGCACCGTTCCAGTTCTGCCAGCCATTTTCTGTTACAAAAGTATCTGCCCTTCTGATTTTCTCTCCAAAGTCGTTTCTTTCACACTTTCTCCTATTTATTCTGCAAACAAGCTCCTTTGAACTAAAACCACATGTTTTACATTGGTCAAGACCCACTTAAAGCACTTTGTAACATAAATATCTTAAATCGGTAGCGAAGAATGCGTCTCACATGTGTTTTCACAGCATAGCATCCAGAAAAAGAAATTAAACAGTATGGTTTCACATTAAAGGTCCGGACAGTGTAATGAGACTGTGGTTTGTGCGAGTGGAGGCTGAGCATCGGCACAGAGGAGTTCTGCCCACAGTGCAGTGATGCTGCGCTCCTGCTTCACCATCATGCGTGCACAACATGCTCCCTCAGATTTAGAGAGAGCCAGCGACGATGTCAGGAGAGTCTTTAACAGACGATGAAGGTCTCTAGCAGTCTTTGAAGACATCATCAGGGACAGATGCAGAAGAGACTATGGAAAACAGAATTGGTGATACCCTACAAGGCTGCTGCTTGGTTCATTTGCCGTTACAACTGGGTTAACTTGTTGACTCAAGAAAACAAAAGTCCAGTTTGTTCTTCATAATGCGTATGTGCTCTAGATTCATTAAGATACTCTGTAAATTAAACGATCTTTTATTTGCCATTTGCGCACCCAGAGATACATTGGAATGCTTCTGCATGTATACATCATCTTGCTTTCCTTTGAGGTGCAACACATGCACACTGCTGAGAGTGAACCTTGGGGCCTGAGTGCAGAGTCAGGCCATTTATCCAGCACCCCTGGGGAACACTGGAGGAGCCTTGCTCAAGAGACCAGTGCAGATGTAATGAGCCTGTTGGGGCCAGGGCTTGAACCAGCAGCAATCCGATCACGGGCACAGAGGACTAGCCCTGTGAGCCACACAGCACCGCCTGTAACACGTCCATCTTCTAGCACTCATTAAGGTCATGGTACGGAGGCTGGAGTCCATTCCAGGCAGCATAAAGCGCAGGGCAGGAGAACAGCCTGCTCAGGAGGCCAGGCCATCAGAGTGCATGCAAACACAACAGGCGATTTAAAGACGCCAAGTTACCTGGCTGTCTTTCCTCTGCAGGAGATTACAGAATGCCTGGAAGAAGCAGAACATATGCAGGCTGTTAAACTAAAGACCAATCCTAATCACTCAAGGGAACATTTATTTCTTAATTGTGCATCAACTGACCATAGAGGCTCTAGACCTGAAACCTTGAGTATCATACTTAGAAATGCCTGACTGGTCCCATCTGTGCACTAACCGGGGAGATAACAGTGGTGTTTGCAAGCCCTACAGCTTTATAAATAATGCATTCTGAAATACCTTCCTACAGAAGTCAATAGCTGATAATCCTCATTCATTCTTTTCACTAAAATACAGCTGGTGACATTTTATGCCAATGGCTGCCATTATTTTGCTACTTTGTGGTAGTTTTTTTTTATTTAAACAGACAGTCTTATCAGTTTATGCAGCTGGCTGTTGTACTGAAGCAATATAGTACTTTTCAACAATAGGGCCTTTACCGGGACCTAACTCTGCAACCTTTTGTACACTTTCCCTCTCCAGAGGATAGTAAATCACCCAACTGAATTCCAACTGCTTATCCAGTAGGCTGAGTAGAGGGAGACCATGCCAGGAAGCATAAAGGAGAAGAGAGGGGTTGCGCTGGATGGGATGTCAATCTGTCCCAGGGCACAGATACCAAGGACGACTCAAACAGTGTGTCTGTGGACATGGAGGGACGTGGAGGAGCCAGTACAACATAGCAGAAAGAAAGTCTACATAGAGAGACTGGGAGCAGGACTCAAACTCCCGAAGGTAGAGGGGTTAGGTAACAGTGTAGCCCACTGGGCCACAGTACCACCTGTGATAATAAATTATGGGATTTCTCATGTATTTATCTTTGGTGCTTCCTAAGCAAATGTGTGTGCAGGGAAGGGTAAGGCACGGTCTCTGTTATTGTCTTTTATGTTCATACACATCCCCATATTTTCCTCTTCTGACATTACCATCACTGTGAGACATGGATGTTCAGCCCTCGCAAGGAAAGATCACTCGCCGACAGCTCGCCGCCCTCTCACACGAAGCAGGAACGCCCCAAGGGACCCGCGTCCGTGGCAGATGTTTTGTCTGGCTAGTGGTCTCTGCCCATCTCTGGCTGCTTGCCCATCTACGTGAGGGAAATAGGTGAGCAAACAGTAGAGGGAAAGAGAGGGGAGAGAGAGAGGGGAAGAGTGAGAGAGAGATGAAGAGTGAGAGAGAGAGAGAGAGAGAGAGAGAGAGAGGGGAAGAGTGAGAGAGGAGAGTGGGGGAGAGAGAAAAAGAGAAAAAAAAGAGAGAGGAGAGCAAGAGAGAGACGGTGAGAGAGAGAAAGAAAGAAGGGGAGAGAGAAAGAAGGGGAGAGTGGGGAGAGAGAGAGAGAAAGAGAGAGAGAGAAAAGGGAGGGCGAAGAGAGAGAAAGAGACATGAACTGGGGGAAGAGGGAGAGAGAAGCTTGAGACCTGAGGTATTTTCCTTCCCTCCTGCCAGAGGTTACAGAAACAGTATCATAATGGCCAGCTCAACTTTATATGTTGGGGTAGCAGGAAATGATTTCTGGCACAGCAAAGATTTAAGAGAGGAAAAGTACACAGAGATCTGTTCTTATTTTTAACAGGACAAAAACTTCTATAAATTGTTTAAATCTAAAGATCTTAGGTTTAACGGTTTATTATTTTGTTGCCCCTGTTAGGCAAAATCATTTTAAAAACAACAATCATACATTGGTAAACAGAGATGACCTACTTCTCGGTTGGGTAGGCTACACCTACCAGTCCTAGCAGAACCCAGAAAGCCCAGTGAGACAGTCAGAATGTCTGTTTGTTTTTAAGCTGGCTTGCCACCGGGCACTGAGAACCAAATCCAGGTATTCCGAGGTGTGCAGTATGTGTTTTTCCTCTCAAAGTATCTGGAAGACAACCGGCCCAGCATCTGTAGGAAATTCAACGAACCGTGGCTGGGGCCATCCGACACAACAATTTGTCACAGAATAACAACAGAATCAATCTGAAAGCATCACAGAAGAATGTCAGACCCTTGAAGACGCATTACTGAAATATAACTCTAGTAAGAACTCCCCCCAGTCACTGTGCTGCCGAAAGGCCGCCCAGGTCTCCCCGGATGTTGTCCTACCAAGTCATGAAGGAGACCTTGCTGAGAGCCAGCCTCACACACCCCTTCCTTCATACATCCACGGCACAGATTTATGGGTCCGCAGGAAAGCCAGGCTAGCCAAGAAGCCAAACATCACAGTCCGGAGCGCACAAAGTTTGCTCCTTATATTTATTGTCAAACTGTTGTTTTTACTGGAAACATTTCTGCAGGGGAAAATGGTTTATTTCCAGTGGACCAGAAGCATTTGGGCAGGAAGTCCCAGCCTGACACATATGGAGCCCTGATCAACAGTGGAAAGAGCACAGGACGTTCTGCTACCTTTGCTCCTTACAACCATCACACAAGATTTTCATTGCATAGTGGAATCGACTGTTTACTGTGCACATGACAAAGTCCTGAAACTTAAACTGGCAATATACAGCACGTTTTCCTAGTAAGGTTAAGAAGCTCCATCTCTCAGTGACAGGTCTTGTTGGTTTTCACTCAATGGCACTTCTTAATTGTTGGAAACCAATATTTGTATAAATAAGTCACCACGTCTGGTGCAAATCAATTACCATTGAAGGTTAAGTTGAACAGCAGTAGAGAAAAAAAAAGCACTTGAGAGCTCCACCCTCCTGTGCAGAATCACGCGAAGGAAAAGGTGCAAACCCCATGATACCTATTTCCATTACGTGGGCCAATTTGTTATTGCTAAGCCTCAACATACATCTGTAAGTTTAAACAAACCTGGAAATTAAAGGTGCAAAACGGCCGTCCATAGTGCTATCATTCAGGAGCATAAGACAGCAGCTTTAAAAAAAGTTTGTAAATGGCACCATCTACTGTGCTGCCTAGGAAGTCAGCAGGTCCTGACAGTTTTAACACAAATTACGCATGAAAGAGCCATGATGTGTCATTATTGTACCCTAACCCTCATGCATATGAATATACAGAATTTCTGAAGAAGCCAGATAAAACACCATAATTCCTGTCAGTCACCGGGGAAAATTATGGTCACGCACCAATGAATTTTGACTGATGCGTACACACACAGTGGCAACATAGCAAAAAAACATGAGGACAACTGGAGCCACAGAATGAGTGCGCATGGCCTCGATTAAATTTGTTTCAGTGATATATCCAGTTTCCGCTTGCGCGTCCATGCCAGTGAGTATCAATCACAGGATAACTTCAGAAGGCAAGTCATACATTCATTGAAACTACAGGGCATAAACCTACTGGAGAGCAAATTAAAATGATTCCAAATTGGAGTATTGATTAAATGTGCTTTATGGCAGACCATTCTGAATGGTTTTCTTTCTCACCTGCGGTGAAGGCTACTGGACAAATCAGCGAATCAAAAAGACAAAAAAAACCAACCCAGTATACCCAGACACGTTTTCCCTATTAAGAGTCTCTCCAGGGCCACCGTCATGGCGTCTGACCATACATCCTGACTGTAGATTTAGAAGTATGGTTTGAATTACTAGAAACACGCACACAAGAAGCAAAACAAGTCAATTTCAAATCATTTTAATTACACAAACGAACAAAAACGAAACCTTTGTCAGTTGCTGCTGCTTGTCAGACTGACAAAAAGCACTCCAGAATCATATTCAGCCAAGCAGCTGATGCCGTTGTTCTCTCATGCGAATTGCACTGGATGGATTACGTTGGGTCATGGAGGTTCAGGGAGGACCGGTCTTCAGATGGGTCAGGGAAGGTCATGGTGCTCTACAGTGGATTGCTCAGCCTGCAGCGTTGCTCTTTTGATGGATAACAGTCATTTCTTTGCTGCCTGGAGCCTATCGCTCACGTTCTCCCAGTTCACCACGTTCCAGATGGCTTTCACGTAGTCTGGTCTCACGTTCTTGTACTGCAGATAGTAGGCATGCTCCCATACATCGATGCCAAGCAGCGGAATCAGGCCTGGTGGGAATATATAAGTTACACCCAATGAAAAATGCTTTCGCATTTCAGCAACCGAACTCTGAAACTACCAGTGTCAAAAGCTCCCAAACAGAACAAAAGAAATGGGTTAGGTTTTGGCACTGGATACTAAATGTTTCAGTTGGGAGGCTTGGCATAGAAAGCAAACTATTAAACCTACTGCAGACGGGATTACTGTGCTGTTAAAAAGCGACTGGTTCAGCCCAAAGTGAAGCACAGTAACTCCACCCACAAGAAACTTCAAATCCGCAAATCTGCAATGACTAGGTTTTGGGAAGTTAGGAACTACAGTGAATGTTAAAATACACAGCAAGGAACTGCCAATAAATGACATGTCATATTTCTCTCTTTATCTGTCAATCTGTTATGAAGCACAGGGTTTTATGGTCTTCCAGTTCACACATCTAGTAGAAAAAGCCTCACTACTGTGACAATGACCATGGGAAAATATAACTGCTTTTACACAGAAGATTGAACTGTAAAAATCTATTTTTGATATAATACAGTGTTTACATAGCATTTTGTATTATTCCTTTTCCATAAAAGGAAAAAAATCTCATATTACTTATAAAAGATATGTTTTCTGCATCAGAGGCTGCACAGTGTGCAGTGTTAGTATTTACATTGTATGATGCATGTATGAAACCATCGCATCACAAGGATGACAATAGTCAGCTGGGTTGACCCATCAGTAAGTTATGCTAAAACATTTCTCCTCTGACACAGGAAACAAAACATAGCAAGGTCTGCAATTTCAATGATTGTTAGCATTTAAGATTATCTAGTATGTTTTTAAAAATCAGTGCCAAGTTTACTGCTATGGTTTTTGAATGAGCCCTGCGTGCGCTCTCCATGTCAATCATAATTAGCGTTTCCCCTACCATTATATTAGGGGGGCGCCCCGGCCCCCCAATGGCACCTCCCGCCCCCCCCTTGAAGGTTAAGTTAATTTTATTTTCTATATAGCGCTAGATCACAACAGAAGTCATTTAAGGTTATCTTTCCTATAGAACAGGTCTATACATTGTCCTTTTATTAAACAAACTAAATAGCCTTATGTCATTTATTCTATTTACACAACAGTTTGTCATTTTTGTTTCTACACGGTCAGGCCTTTATAATTCTCTGCTTGCAGACACGTGCACGCACACAAAGGTGAGCACACTCCCACCAGCGGACAGAGAGCGCGCGTCAGAAAATATGTCGTGTAAACCACCTGAAAAGCAGACAAAAATATCTGCGTTTTTTAAACTGTAAACTGTGAGAGGGACATCTCAACCATGAACAGGGTAATAAATACGTTTCGGTTTCACAATGGGATTTTCTGCTTTAAACTATCACAATTTTAAGCTATTAGCTATCACTTTTAAAGCCTAACAGTTAATATATTTGCAGGTCAAGACAAACACCCGCAATCGGACTTTGTCAGCTGACGTCACACTCGCTATAACCGCAGTGTATTATGGGTCAAATCGCCACTGCTATCATTAAAAGAAACATGAACACCATGAATCCTGTCGGTGTCCATCTACCCCCCCCCCCCAAAAAAAGCTGTAAACTTAGGGGAAACACTGATAATCATTCTCGTCCTTGCTTTTGACACTACTCAGACAGGTCGGCACATTTGTGAGCAATTTAACAAAAACTGAGGAGCAGAAACATGAACAAGAACTGATCACCTAAACACATTCATCTTCCATTGTACAAAAATATTCTGGATTCCATAAAGACGATATTAGCCAAAGCAAATGATTTATCTGCATTGATTTGTCTCAACACAAGTCAAAACAACACCACCAACTTATGACTCTATTGGTTGATAAGTTTTATTTGGCTGTGTTTAATTTTGGGCAGCGATGGCCAATCTTATGCGCAAAGGGCCATTGTGTACGCAGGTCTTTGGAGTGACCTTTAGGTCAGTTGTTCAAACCCAGGTGTGAGGGTTTGAACAGCCAATCAGTCCTCTAATTAGTAATCCAATTAGGGACTTGCAGCAAACACCTGCATACACAACGGCCCTTTCTGGATTAGACTGGCCACCCCTGGGTAAATGTTCAACTTTTTTCTTTTATAAATATTGCAATTCTCATTCACATATTTTACAAAATCAGGTTCCAGACCATATCTGAAGCCTGCCTTCAGGTACAGGGCACCGCCTGCCTCAGAGTATGACCTATCAATCCAGCTCCACCCACTTCCACTGGTCTACTTCAGACAGAGGATGTCTGAGAAACCAGGCAAGCTGCTGCAGGACCCTGCTTGGCCACCAGAGGCCGTTATTTTCCTCCAGCATCATTCGGGGGGTGGGTCATTCCAGAAGAGAGCGCATGCCTTGCATTAACACATTATATTGGTTCAAATTTTGTTAATCTCACTGGGAGAGATACAGATCAAGCAAAAATATAAAATAGTTTTTGTGGCAGATGTTATTTTAAGTAACGTAGATGTACGGATGACTTTAAAATCCTTAAAACGGTTAGGCATGAAAGTCCTAACAGGGTCTGACTAACCTGTAGTGCCATGCAGGGGGTCCTGGTTGGCGCAGGCTGCAATCCGCAAGCGGCCGCTCTCCTTATCAAAGCCCAGCCATCCCCATCCGGAGCCCTGCACAGCAACTGAAGCTACAGACATCTTCTCCTTCATCTTCTCAAAGGAGCCAAAATCCCGCTTTATGGCTTCCAACAGCTCCCCTGTGAGAGAAGCACGTTACCAACCAAGTCAGTCTCTGCCCACCCAAGAGATTAAGCTTAACGGAAGAAAAATCAGCAACAGTCTAACTCGGTGTTTCCCCTATTGATCCTCGGGGACCCACAGACAGACCATGTTTTTGCTCCCAGCTGGGAGGGAGCAAAAATGTTAACTGATTGGCAGACAGCAAAAACATGGACCGGCTGTGGGCGCCTGAGGACCGGATTGGGAAACACTGGTCTAATTCACGCAAAACCATTTACTATTTCCATACATGAACCATAGGGCCGATTTTCCCTGCAGGTCCTCAGCTCACCTTGTGGCTCCCCCCCACCGTTTGGGGAAAGGTTCGTCCAGAAGATGGTGTGATTGATGTGCCCGCCGCCATTAAACTTTAAGGCGGACTGCAAAGCCACCTGGGTCGTTATGTCACCTGAAACAAAGGCAATGCTGTAAAGTGCCTCCCAACCCAAGTCAAGAACCCTCTCTGGATGCTGGGACTGTTCCAGTGAGCTTCCTACTTAACTCTCTTCGCTTGTTCGTTTCTGGTCACATGAACTCAAGGCATGTTTAAATCATTTCTGGAAAAGTGGGGCATTTACATAGGATAGGAACGTTTCTCATTTTCTGATCAAAAAATAATACTGTAGTCAACTGATTCACTAAATTGCCAATAACATATTTTATACAGGAGTGGGTACATGAGTGTGCCCTCTGATAGACTGGCATCCCATCGAGACTGCTACCCTGCCTTGTGCTGGCCTCGCCCCACCCTGCCATTGTTAAGAGGTCGGAAGACAGATTAATACTTAGAAATTACATTAAAAACCACTGAAACAAGTTTCCTTGGGCTACATTCAAATAACTTTTCCAAAATTATCCTGTTTTCTGCCTAAACAAAAATCACAAGAATGTGAAGTCAAGCTCAATCTGCAGGATCCCTTCAGTCAGTGTTTACCCTTGGCTAGCGCCTCCTTGTACTTCTCCTCGGCGATGTTGAGGTTGTTGACGTAAGTGGCGTGGTGTTTGCTGTGGTGCAGCTGCATGATCTCAGCACTGATGTGGGGCTCCAGGGCCCCATAATCATAGGTAAGATCGGGGAGCGAGTGCTTCTGCCTAGATGCCAGGTAGCTCAGGGCAGGTCGCAGACAGAAGGAATACCTGTAATTTAAACATTTATAAGATCCATTTATTCAGGTTACCCCCCTGCAGAGAAAGATTCCTACAGAAGTACAAAAGAATATTTCACGTATTTTACATACGAAGATATATCAAATAATTTGTTAAAGTTCACCAGAAACAAAAACAGAGGCACTTTAAATCGACAGATACTAAGGAAGAACGGTGTTCGCCTTTCGCACTTGTTTATGCCCAGCGTGTAGCAATGGCTTTGGATAAACGTTGAGTTAAGCCGTTCATGAGATTTTAGTAAAGAAGCAGCGTTGTACCAGTCTTTAACCGAGCTGTCGGTCGAAGGATTTCCTCTTCAGCACCCTTGTCGAACTGTCGCCGGGACATCTTAACTAGTCCCACCTTTTAATAGCGCGTTTTTATTACGTGTAAAGCCAGGCGCTTTATCGGAGTTTCAGATCACACCGGTAAATATTAGGAGAGATTATCAGTATTCGATTGAAAATTGAGACACTGACCACGGTTTCGCTAGTCTGGGAATCTTTCTATGCAAATCACTAGCTGTTAAAATATGAAGTAGTCGCACGTTTTGTCAGTTATTAAAAAACTGAAAGTGGTGACCGCTACTGTCCGGTGAGGTGCTTAGATAACAGACGTTAAACTGTAAATACTGAGTTTACTACCTATTTTGCGGTTTCAGATAATGAACGGAACTAATTACGCAGCTCGCTAATCATCGGTTTTACGTCCATTTACCAGAACTATGGTTGATTAGCAATAGGACATTACCGGGGATATACCCAGTAAGGTAACGTAAGAGTTCACCATCCAGCATTTATTATTAAGTGCAGCGCACTTTCGATTGTTTCCCTTTTGTTTTTTTCTTTCTTTCTTTCTTTTTTACCTGCGCAGCATGATTAACGGAGACAGTCCGATAGCTGTGACACAGCGATAGCCCGACAGCGGCCTTATCCGCGCTGAGCTAGTTGCCCTTGAAATTCCAATTTAAACTTGCTTGCGACGGTACCATTTCAACGTACGATAACTAATGTGGTAATCTTATAAGACACATTACACATGAGGTGTCAGTACAAAATAGAGATTTTAAGACTATCTGATTTTTTTTTCAGAATTCCTTAATTCATTTGTCGATATTTAAAAGATGTCAACTTATTTGTCACCGGGCACCCCCTCTATATCATTATGGTTTAGCCCACTCCATTTTGTTGAACTCAACATTGGGACGAAAAGCCTCGGGCCTAGCGCGCTTGATAATGTTTTGAGTCGCACTGCGTATCATTTTCCTTTTCAAATATGTTTTACTTTTTAAATGTCGGCAATACGTAGCATATCAGAACTCGATGTTGACAGTGCAATCCGGAACAAAAACTATTGTGCATCACGACATTATGTTGATAAGTTACATAGTCCTATTCTTTAGCTTAAAGTTTTAAAATGGAATGTGGTTGGATGATAAATATTTTGGCAAATGCTGTATACTGTTGAAAGCCTTTATTTAGAAAAAAAATTACATTACATTATATTACATTAATCTGGTGCACTTCATCTACATTTAACAGATGGTAAAACAAGCAATAACCGTAGGTATAGCACAAAATGCAGGAAATCGCGCGCGTGCTGCGCGAGCCGGCCAGGCGGTTCCGCGCCTCCCTTGCCCAGCACCCCTGCCATGATGCTTTGCGGCGCAGTCCCCTCCTCATTGACGATGGCGCCTCTGACGATCCCGTACGAACAGGCGTAGGACAAAATGCGATAAAAAAAAATACACTCGGCAAGACTCATATCTCTGAGCAATTATTTAATTTAGTGTCGGGCTACACGGTTTTCTGACCTAAAGCGAACTCGGTAAGTGCGCTCGGCTGGTATCGTGGTGTCGCTAGGCAGGCTAGGGAGGAAAGAGCGTCTCTCCTCGGTCGTGGGAGAGTCTCTTCCTTCTCCGCCATTTTGTAGCAGCGAGAAGCCACAAACATATAAGAAACCGGCAGGTACGTGGCTTGGCCCATCGCAAGTTTTAAAAAGCTGAAACTCGCGGCCGACTTAAGTGGCCAGAAGCGCGTCGCCGTCCGTGTGTGCGTCCGGCTGCCTGGCCGTATAAGCGGCGGGGAAAGTGCGTTTTTCGCGTTTGTTTTTCTGGTCGGGTCGGGGGGTAACTGGCGTGCTCATACGGCGTGATGTCTTGTATCATCCGGCACCCAGATTACAGAAGCGGCGCCGTTTTGCTCCGTGGTGTAGCGCGTTATAAGCCGCCTCCATTGCGGCCAAATCGCCGCAATCCGAGCCTTTTTAGTAAGCTTTAATAGTTGCGCCCCCCCGACCCATTTATGCAATTTCGGACGAAGCATCGGTTAGCTAATGTGCTGCACTAGTGAAGAAAAATAACAGGCGCTAAAGCAAGAAGGCACCAGGCCAGATAGGTGTTCCGCAGTAATGTGAGATCCGAAAATAAAAATGAATACTTTTATTGCGTAGCTAGTTATTTATGCTATATTTCGTTTCGAAACATTCTTGTGTATAGTTAATTTTGAAATTAACGGTACCGCAGCACTTTCAAAATAGCTGGCCGTACATGTATATGTCCAGCTGAATTACTGTCCACTTCCGGGAATTTTGTAATTAATTGCTCATTGCGGCATACGTGCATTTGCACCATGATTTATCATTTCTTGTGGGACATTCATTTCTTTATTAAGCTGGGTTTTATACCTCGCGTTTACTTCAGATGCCAGTCATCACCGATTTTACTTTTAAAGTTTCTCCATTAGGTAATTTTGCTGGGTAATGACCTTTGCAGGGGAATCATCCATGTGAAGGAGGTGTGTTTTATATAATCGGGGGGCAGCTAGATGACGTTCACGCGCTGACGGGCTCACAAATAGTCTAAAACGTTTTAAATGATGCATTGGTCTTAAAATGCCCCTCTTGTTTCTTTAGTCGTGCCCCTTCAGAGTTCAGAATGACTAATGAGGAACCTCTACCAAAGAAGGTAATTACAGTTATTTAAGTGTTTAATATCTTTGCTTACTTGATGTTTCCTTTCTGCTTTAAGTGGCCTCATTGATTTCTCTTGCGTGTTTGTTTAGGTTCGCCTTAGTGAGTCTGACCTGAAGACACTCACCAGGGAGGAGCTGTGTGCCAGGTAAATGGGGTATCTTTTGTTCTGGTGCAGTTTATAGTTGTTTTCACCTTTCTGCTTATACATATTTTGGCCATCAACAGATGTGTGTTTTCCATACAGAACAGAGTTCCACCGCACTTAAGACTGGGTTTCACTTTATAAATTCCATATAAGGAAGTGAATTGGGTGGTTGTTTTAAAAAGCCGAATTCCTTTTTTTTAAACCGTTTTGATTTCTGTCCACAGTCAACTTGCTAATGTATTCAATATCAGTAACTTGACAGTATTATGTTCTCATGGTTGATGCTTTGCATGTAAGTTTGTTGACAAGTTAAATGGGCTAAAATGTAGATTTGGATTTTAAGTTCATATTGATCTCACACACATCAGTACTGAGCTGTGTGCAACATCAGTTCGGGATATTTGAGACTGGGATGGTAATTGGCATTCTCTGGTTACTTTTATTCTGTGACAAGTTAGCTTCACAGTGAAGTTTTCACTAATTGTTTGGCTGTTTGAATTTTTGATTGATTTTTATTTTTAACCTTTAGGTGGAAGCAGCATGAAGCCTATGTCCAGTTGCTAGAGGCGAAATATGCAGATCTGAATTGTAAGCTCATTTTCAGAAGTGATTTTGGGAGCTGGGGAAGTGTTTCATCTTAAATATGCATCACATAAATAGGTGTCGCAAGACATTCTAGTTAATTATTTGCTGTTTTTCTGACATTTTCTGACGTATCATGTAATTACTTTTGTGTATCTAAGATGCTTCCTGCTTGTATGCACAGTGTCGCTCCTGTAGTGTGCTGTTCCTTAGTGTTTCCCCGCTATTGGGCATCTTCCGGGGCACTGAAAAATGATGGGCACATCTCTCGCAGATGGTATAGTTAGATGTTTGTCTCCTTTCCGTGTGGCGCTGCTGCAGCCAATGACCTGACTGGTCTGAAGGAGTCAGAGGAGAAGCTGAAGCAGCAGCAGCAGGAGTCGGCAAGAAGGGAGAACATCCTGGTCATGCGGCTCGCCACCAAGGAGCAGGAGATGCAGGAGTGCACGGTAAGTGAAGGCTTCAGCCCTTCCGTCAACGCCATTTGGAACTGAAGCACTTGATGTTGCCTCCTTCCAGCACCTAATGCAGCACAAATATACACAGTGTAAGGATAATATTTTGTTTCTGAATTGCACTGTAATTGTAGCTGTTGATTTTGACTGTGGAGCCACTGTTCTTGCAGACCAGGGCTGGTGATCATTAACAGAGGGGTGTGGATTAATCACTGGGAGTAAGATGCCCCATTTGAGAACTTTGGCATAGCCGCCCCTGATAGACTCAAGTGGTACATCTCTCTGTGGAACAGTTGACACTTTAATATCCACTGCTACTATTCAGTACCTTGAACAGGGATGAAGACGGAGAAGTTCTGCTAAGGTTTCCTTGAGGAGCTTTTTTCAACTTTTTTCTGTAATAGTTATTTTTTTGTGTGAAATGGGTACTGTAGACTGCAGTGTTTCCCAACCCGGTCCTTGGGGACCCACGGATGGTCCACGTTGTTGCTGCTTCATGTCTCCCTGCCAGACAGTCCTCATTGTTGCTCCCTCCCAGCTCCCACAGAAAAGAGGGCTGTCTGCAGGTCCCCAAGCACTGGATTGGAAAACACTGGCCTGGAGTATTACACATGGATGTGGCAGGGAAATAATTAGCAAAAGTTTGTTCCCCAATCTAGCAGTCAAGCTGTTTCTATTATATTGTATCTCCTGGTGTTGCTCCATGAGATGTTTTGGTGTGTTGGTTAGCTTAGCCCCCGGAGAAGAATTTGTCTGCTCATTGGTTTCCTCGCCTCCTGCAGACCCAGATCCAGTATCTGAAGCAAGTGCAGCAGCCCCGCGCCGCCCAGCTGAGGTCCTCCATGGTGGATCCGGCCATCAACTTGTTTTTCCTTAAAATGAAGAGTGAACTGGAACAGACTAAAGACAAACTGGAGCAAGCCCAAAATGAACTGAGTGCCTGGAAGTTTACACCTGATAGGTAAACAACCCAAATACTCCCAGTCAAGACCTTCCTGACTCTCCCTCTGCAGGAATGGTGGGAAAGCAGAAATGCTCTGTTCACCACGAGACTCAGACTTTAAAGCCAAAAAAAGCCACATTTTTGTACTGTCCTGCTTATAACGCGTAACATACCGATTTGTCAGGTGCACCTTCTATTTGCAGCTTTCTCTCCCCTCGTTCAGAGAGCTGAAGGAATCGGGACTGTTCGAAGAGGCGGTCGCATCCTGCTCCAAATGCTCCCCCCCCCCCTAGAATGTTACCGAGTGTGATGGAGAGGTGGGGGGTAGACTCCAGTTTGGGGTCTGTGATCTGTCTGCAGACTGAGTAATGGAGGAAAGAGCCTAGTTTTAACCCCTCCTCCCCCAGTTGAACAAGTAAAGTATTCCAGTAAAGTTACAGTGGAGCCCTGCACTAGCTGCACCATCCAAGGCACGCGGGAGTCAGTATCGTAAGACTGTTGGCTTCCTTCGAGGTCTGTGTCATCCGAAGCCAGTCAGACTCTAAGAAGTGACTTGATAATCTCAGAGAGCATGTTATCCTGAGACGCGTAGAGTTACTCTTTTTGTTGTTGGTTTTTTTTTTTTTAATTTTATTTTTTACATTTTGTTTTTAATTTCCTTCAAATGCGTTGCATTGACAGCAGTGTGCAAAAAAGGGAGTCTTGTTCAACCAACCAAAAAAAAAAAAAAACAAATGTGCTCATCCAGTGTTATCTGGGAAGTGACTGAATGAAACGCCAGCCGCCATGGTCGGGGTCCGTGACGAGCTGCCGTGCGAACTTCTGTCTGAGCCCCAAGGTTGTGTCAATGCCAGTGTGTACAGATGTGAGCTGATTGGCTCCCGTGCAGGTGAGAATGTGTCTACTGTTGTGCAGCTC